AAGACATCATCAGGGGCGAACGTGTGCGAAGTTTTGTGGTGAGGCTTGGGACAGTTGTTGCTGCCTGCCTGGGCAAGAGTTGGATGCACGTGGCCGCGTGCATTTCCAGCACGCGTCCCCCGTTGGGCCGGATGCGACGGAGCTTCCGCGTGGCCTCCGCATGTTCCGAGTGTGAACGCAGACCTGAGCGATCACAGCTTCGTGATGCTGCTCCCTGGTGCTCCCATCGCAGTGCTCGGCAGAATCCCCGACCGGGTCGGCGGCAGCCTGTCCTTTGCAGGACCCGCGGCCTGCAGGCCCCACCCCATTTGCGCTGCGTCCTCCGTTTCTCTTGGCCCTCCCCGCTCGGGGGAAGGAGAAGCGACACCAACACCACCAGGGGGCCACCTCCAGCGAGGAGGTCCACGATGCCTCTCCGAGCTAGGGATAGGAGATGTCCCGAGCGAGAGGGGGGATCACACCACCAGGGGACCCCTCCCTGGCTCCTCCCGCTTGTGGTCCCTGGTGGTGTGGGTGCCGGTTTTCCATGTTCCTACCCCGCCCCCCCACCCCGATCTTCTAAGCACGGGGGTGGGGGGGAGGCTCAGGGGGAAAACTTTCGGGGGGGAAGTGGTGGGGGGGCAGACGCAGAGGGGCGACGCATCGACGCCCAGTCGCGCACTCCTCGCCGAGCGGGGTCCATGAGCCCGCCCCGCCCAGGGACATGCGGCTTTGCTATCCAGGGTTTGTCGCCGATCCATCCCTACCAGATGGGCCTTCACCACCACAACCATACCTTGGAGGGGGGAGGAGGTGGAGGAGGAGGGGGAGGAGGAGGAGGAGGAGGAGGAGGAAGAGGATGAAGAGGAGGAGGAAGAGGATGTGGGGGAGGAGGAGGAGGAGGCGGAGGAGGAAGAGGACGAAGAGGAGGAGGAAGATGAGGAGGAGGAGGAGGAGGACCCCCTCCCCCTCCTACTCGTGGTGGTGGCGGTGGAAAACAACCCACCACAATCGTTCCCCTCTGACCCTCCCTCCTGCTCCCTCTCGCTCGGCGGCGCCCGTGGGGGGGGGATTGGTGCGAGGGAAGCGGCCAACCCCAAAAAGACGGAGGGACTTTGCCAGACACTAGAGCAGTGGCCTCCTGAGAAGGCCCCGGAGACTTCTGAGAAAAGACGGGCATGTTTCCACCACCACCACCAGAAGTTGGAGGGGGGAAGGAGGTGGAGGATGAGGAGGAGGACGAGGAGGAGGAGGAGGCGGAGGAGGAGGAGGAGGAGGAGGAGGAGGAGGAGGCGGAGGACCCCCTACCCCTGCTACTTCTGGTGGTGTTGGTGGAAAACAAGCCCACCACAATCGTTGCCCCTCTGACCCTCCCTACTGCTCCCTCTCGCTCGGCGGCGCCCGTGGGGAAAGCAAAGCAGTGGCCTCCTGAGAAGGCCCTGGAGGCTTCTGAGAAATGATGGGCCTGCTTTCCACCACCACCACCACCACCACCACCACCACCACCACCACCACCACCACCACCACCAGGGCCACCATAAGTTGGAGGGGGGAAGGATGTGGAGGATGAGGAGGAGGAGGAGGAGGAGGACGCAGAGGAGGAGGAGGAGGAGGAGGAGGAGGAGGAGGAGGAGGAGGAGGAGGAGGAGGAGGAGGAGGACACCCTCCCCCTCCTGCTTGAAGTGGCGGCGGTGGAACACAGGCCCACCGAAAAAGGCGTCTCGGAAGCCTTTCTCGCAGGTTGATCGACCTCCTACTCTGACACGTCGGTCAGCGAATTGGCCGTTTTCGGTTCGCGAGAGGGCGTCGCGGCCGTCATTACGGGTCCAGGTCCGTCGGTTTCGGTCCTAGGTCGTTTTCATTCAAGAGTGGTTTGCTAGAGGGAGGTTTGTCCACCGCCGACGTTCGGGCCTCCGAGCGCCCCCCCCCCCGGCCCTGCTGGAAGCCCTGCCGCGCCCCCTGAGCAGGCCACCCACTTCGCGGCCTCGCCCCCCCTCCCGAGCGCCCTGATCCCGCGCGGGTGCGCGGTTACGCCGGGGGGGTGGTTGCGATCCGCGTCGCCGGGCCCTGGGGGAGGAGGAGGAGGAGGAGGAGGAGGAGGAGGAGGAGGAGGAGGAGGAGGAGGAGGATGTGGATGTGGGAGAGGAGGGGAGGGAGGAGGAGAGAGAGGAGGAGGAGGAGGAGGAGGAGGAGGAGGGAGGAGGAGGAGGAGGGGAGGAGGAGGAGGAGGAGAGGAGGGAAGGAAGAGGAGGAGGAGGAGGAGGAGGAGGAGGAGGAGGAGGAGGAGGAGGCGCAGGGGGCACCACGCTGCCCTCGTCGGGCCTCCTCGGGGCGCGGCGGGGAACTCGTTCGAGGTCCTCGCCCGCGCCGCGGGGCGCTGGCGGCACACCGAACCCTTTTCAAACCGCACCCTTCGGAGTCGCCCACACGTTCGGGAGTCCGTTTCGGTCCGATCGATCGGCTTCGGTATCGATTCTGGCTGGCCCGATCCGAGTCGGCAGGGCTGTCCCGACGAGCCGATGCGGTCCCGTGTTTGCATGGGGCTGTGGTGCATCCTGGCGCAGCCGATCTGACTTCGATTTCGGGCCGATGCCGCCGGATCTGTTGAACACTCCGATGCGATCAGATTTGCCGATTCGGTGCTGCTGGATCCGCGGCAGTTCGCCGAAGGCCGCCGAGGGCCGCCGAGGGCCGCCGATACGTCCAGGCCGCTCTGCGGACCTCGAGCCCTTGCCCCGCGTCCTCCCCCCCACCACGCCCCCTTCCCCCCCTCCCGCCGTCATCGTCCAGGGCAGCCACACTTCCTGGGCACCCAGGGCCTGTGATGGAGGCGTGAACACCCTTCGGCCTCGAGCACGTGCCCCGCTTTGTCCCCCCGCCCCCCCCGCTGCCACCGTCATGGGCAACCACGCCTCCTCGGCCGCCAGGGCCTAAGATTGGGGCGTGGCCATTCCTCGGACCTCGCAGCCGTGCGTCAAGGGCAGCCACAACTCGTGCGCCTCCAATGCCTCGAATTCAGGCGCAGCCGCTCCTCGGCGCTCGATTCCGCCCCCCTTCCTCCCCCACACCTCTTCCCCGCAAGCGCCAGGGACAACCGCGCCTCCCCCGCCCGCCCACCCTAGTCCCCAGACCCCCCCACCTGGACTCCAGAGGGCTCCTCCTACTCCTCCTCCTCCTTTTCCTCCTCCTCCTGCCCCGAGGGTTGGGGCCTGGCACCAGTTCTCATGGTGTCAGCGCCACGCACTCCTCGGGGCACACTGTCAGATTCGACTGCATGCGGCGACCGGGGGCAGCTAAACTGGGCCGCGCCTTTTAGAACCAGCCGCGTGGCATTTTGCCCGTGGCAGCGGCGTAAGCCACGCTCCGTGACCTGCACATGGGTACAGGCACGGGGGATTGCGCATTTGGTTCAGAGGCGGGGCCACGTGGCCCGTAAGTCCCATGGTGGCCGTGTGCCCGCTCACCCTAGAAAACAAACTTAGTTGCGCATGCCAACTGATTGGGCAGGGGTTGGTAATCGGGAAGTCCCTCGCAGTGACGAAGTGAACCGATCGTCCCTCTACGCACCACGCCCTCTCGGCTGGAGGCAAGTCGCTGGGCGACGAAGTAGCTGCCTATCCCCTGCTCGTTGGTGCGCGCGCTTTCGGGCCCGCTTCCTCCCGTAAGGGGGAGGCAGGGGTCCCGGTTGATTGCCATTGCGGTGGGCACCGTCCTTATCTGGACCCATGACTCCTCCTCCTCCTCCTCCTCCTCCTCCTCCTCCTCCTCCTCCTCTTACCTTGGGCTGTTGTGTGCTTGACGGCCCCTGCGGGCCGGGCGTTGGCCCGCCGGCCGGAGATAGAGAAGCAGTCATTGCCGAACTGCTTCCCTGGCCGCTGTGTTGCGTGAGTGATGCGGTGAAGCTGGACATTGAGGACCGAGGAGGATCGGGTGGACCAAAGAGGGGGTCCAGGGACAAAGGGGTGGTGCAATGAATCTGGTGTGGGAAATATGCGGGATTGCAGCAGATTTGGGGCGTACAGTAAAGGCTGGTGCGCAAGTGTATTGCTGAGCTTTTGCGTGCAATGCGCTCGCTGCAGTACGATTGCAACACAATTGACCCAAGTCTATTGCACCACCCCTTTTTCAGCTGGACCCCCTCTTGGGTCGACCAAAAAGGAAGGGTGGTCGAGGACCAAAGCGGTGTTTAGAGGTGTTTCGGGGGCGTCTCGGGGAGCCCTGGGGCGCGGTGGGGGGTCGACAGTGTTCAGTCGGGCCTGTCGTTTTACAGGAGGAGTATTCAAATTCAGTCAACACCTGATATGGGGACGAGTTTGCACTGTATGTTTTCCGTTGTTTGAATGTGTTGTTATCATCATTATTATTGCCATTATTATTATTAGTACCATTATGAGTATGAGTAATATTATTATTAGTAGTAGTATTATTAGTATCATTTTTATTATTGTTATTGTTGTTGTTATTATTATTATTCGTATTCGTATTATTATTATTACTCTTATTATTATTATTATCATTATTATTATTGGTATTGATATTATTATTATGTTCGTAGTAGTCGTAGTAGTATTATGATTATTATCAGTATCAGTATTCGTATTATTATTGTTATTACTATTGATAGTTCGTCCCAAATCCGCTTGTAGGTGGACATGCCCGACCGAATACAAGGGCGGAGCTGGACATCGAGGTCCGAGGAGGAGGAAGGGTGGTCGAGGACCGAAACGGTATTTTGGACGTGTTTCGGGGGCGTTTCGGGGAGCCCTGGGGTGCGGTGGGGGGTCGACAAGGTAACTCGGTCTTTCGTCTTCCTACATGGGGACTACTCAAGCATAGTCAAAACATAGTCTGGCGACGATTATTATCCCTGCGCTCTTGAGCAGTATTTTGGGTACCTTGTGGCTTCCTGTTCGTCCCCAATCCGCCTGCAGGAGGGCATGCCCGACCTAACGACAGGGAGTCCGTGCCCTGGGGCCGGGTGAGGGACCCCCCCCCCCCCGGCGCGCGTGCGCGCCCGCCAGGAGGTGAGCCTCGGGCCGAGGCGCTGCCTGCGGGCCCGCCGGCGCCCCGGCAGGCACGGGAGGAAGAGATGCCGATAGACTGCTGCCCGCCACCATCTCCCTCGTCTTCAGGCCTCCCAGGTTTAGGTCGGGCGCGTCCCTGTACATGGGGGAATCTACAAAAATGGTCCAACAATAGTCTAGGGACGTTTTTTTCCCCGTGTATATATATATATATATATATATATATATAGGTGTATCTATCTGTATATATATATGTGTATATGTATTTACATCTATATACACATCCATGTTCGAGCATTGTTCGGGAATGTCCTAGGTATTTGTTTTTGCTTTCGTCCCAGATCCGCCTGCAGGGGGCATGCCCGACCTAATCCCAGCTCGGGTCCGAGTGAGGGGGTCGGAGTGTCGCGCTGCATCGCCGACTCATCGGCGATGCGGCTCTGGGGAGCCCGACGTTCTCCACGCCGACGTCATCAATGCACCACCGACGTCGCCGATGCATCGGCGATGCGGCGCGGCGCGATCCTCCGATCCCATCTACTCCGACCCCAAGTGGGAGGCCTCTATCGAGTATATCCAGGACCCCAAGTAAGGGAACCCGGTTAATAGTAGGGCCCCGGAGCCCCTAAATTGGCCAGAATCAGTAGACCAGGCAGGTCTGCCGTAGCTGGTGTTTTTCGGGAGACGGCAGTTCCGGTTAGTGGAACGGGGCGGGGGGGGGCCTCCCCCAGCACCCATCACCAAACCAGGTTCCATTGAACCCAGCTCTGCCAACGCCCGACCCTAAGACGGGGAGAGGTTTGGGAAGTAGCGGTGCCGGTACCTTCCGAGCATTTTCCTTGGGTGGAGGGCAAAGGGTGAAATCCGAGATGCCGGTTTGATGTGCGTTCGAGGCCGGAATCCGCGAAGGGTGCATCGCACGACGGATTGACTCGCGAGGTGCAAAAGCCCATACCCATATGTCAGCGAGCGAAAAACTGTATTAAATAAACTTTCCGCCGTCGGGGACACCTGCCCCTGGGCGGCTGGAAAGTTTCTACCCCGACGGTGCCACGGTAAGGGTATAAACTTTCCAGCCGCGCTGGGGCAGGTGTCCCCGACGGTGAAAAAGTTTATGTTATACCGTTCTTCGCCCGTTGAATATGGATTTCACCCTCAGCCCTCCACCGGGAGAAAATGCTCAGACCTTGCCGTTGCCCCAGGCAGGGGGATGGGCAACCTGCGCTGGCGGTGCCAGAGGCCCAAGGCGCGTGCGCGCGCGTCGCGCCTCTTCCGTCGTCTGTCGCCGGCGCGTGCCCCGGCGAGGGGGCGCGCGACCTGTCCGCCGCCACGGGGCGCGCATCCTCGTCGCCCTCGTGCCAGACGCCCGACGTCTTGCTTTTTTTAACGTGGGGCCCCCAGACCCCCTCGAGTCATGAAAAAATCACGACGGGAGGTTTTTCGCTATTTTCGGCCTCTGGGGGCCCTTACCGGCCCTCAGGACCGTCAAAAACGACTCTGGATGAAAATGAAAAACCGGTCCCGGGGAATGTGTCTGGACCTCTGGGGGTCGCGTCATGAAAAAATCATGACGTCGGGGGTCTGGGTCCCCAGAAGTCCCGACCAGTTCCCCAGGGCCAGCTCATCATCCTGAGCCGTTCCCTGACGGTCCCAGGGCCCGGCGAGGACCCACGGACGCTGCAAATTGCCCAATTTTGTCCGTCGTGATTTGCTTCTGCAGCCAAGACGCCTCAACAAGGAACGGTTGGGGCTCGGACGAGGTTCGATGTTCTTTAGGTCCTTTAGTAGCTGTTCCGCGGGCCCTCCTCGCGCCCGCGGGCACTCTTTGTGCCAAGCAGACGTCGTTCCATATGTAAGCAGCCCTCCTAGATCCCTCGCCCTCCGCCGGGCGCGCGGGGCGCCAGTCCAGAACCCTCCGCCTGGGAGCCTGGATGCAAACAGCGCGGTGGGCGTCCCCGAGATCCCGGCGTCGCCTTCTTGCTTTCAGCAGGCTGTGGTCACCCAGGCCCGGGATTCGGAAACGTCGGGTTCGAGGAGTGCCGCAGAAAGACAGGGTCTGGGGCTCCTCCGGGCCTGATCCTGCAATTTTGCACAGTGACTTTGCACGAAGGTCAATTTTTCTCAGGGAGAGCGTGGTCCCAGGAGTTTCTTTTAGTAGTATTATTTCACTGCCCCCTGGCGCCATCTTGTGGGTGAGCCAGCGGCTTCTGTCTGTGATCAAAAACACTTGGCATCGTTCGCACCTGTGCATTTTTGCTCGGCGAGGACTATCGTGGGGCATCCTGGATCATCGTGCGAAAAATGCACGCACGAAACAGAAACATGCACGGGGAATGGACAGACGAGCGATGGCAGGTAACAAGGTATATGTGGTCCGGCGGATTCATATGTTGAGCATGTCCCCAGCGAAATGCTTGTTTCAGATATTTTGTTGAGCAGCTATCGTGCGAAGCGTTTGTTTTGCAGAGTCTGAGCATGTATCTAGCAAAACGCTTGCTCTGCAGAGTTAGCTGAGGATGTCTCGAGCCAAAGCTTGTTTCTACGTGTCCAGGCCGCCCAGGGGGGTATCTAACATGAGGTCGTCGGACCCTTCCCACACGTAAAGTAGCGTGCCAGGATGGGACATCTAACATTCGTCTGCCGCCTCTCCCTTTGGCGCATGCGTAATTCTAACGTTTCTGGGCCACCCAACGGGGTATCTAGCATGGTTGTCCCGAGTTAGAACCATTTGTTTTCAAATGTCCAGGACACCCAGGGGGGGTTCTGACATAGTGCTCTTACTCGAGCTGTAACCACATGTTTATAGGTGTCCAGGCCACCCAGAGAGGTATCTAACATAGTTGCCCCCAGCTTGAACCAAGGGTTGTCACGTGACCAGGCCACCCAGAGGGTATCTAACATGGCTTCGCTTAGCTGGAACCAAAAGATTTTACATGTCCAGGCCACCCAGAAAGAGATACCTAACATGCTCGTCGGGGCACCCCAAGTATGGGGGGGCACAAGAGCCAGAACATCAAAACTAGTCGACGCCAGATGTATAATACATTGGCAATGGTTGTTCCGACCGCTGGTTTTCTCAATGTTTGCATTGGGGTGCCTGACAAGTGGTGGTCCCGAGCTGGAGCCACATGTTTCACTTGTCCAGGCCACCAAGGAGGGTATCTAACTTGGTTGCCCCCAGCTAGAACCACGTGGTTTCTTGTGACCAGGCCGTCCACAGAGGTGTATACAACATGATTGTAACATGGATTTCCTGTTCCCGTGAGCCCAAACCGTGTTGTTGTTTACATAGTTGTGTCTCGGCCGTGATCTCAGACCATGTGTTTTTTCTACATTAGTTCATGCCGCTTTTGAGCCAATGCTATGTGTGTTTTACATGGCTCCGTTTCGCCTGGCAGCGCATCCATGTGTTGTTACACCAGTGATGTGCGCTGGTGGCTTCTAACCATGTGACTGCACATGAAATTATTTCGCCCGCCAGCGCAAACCATGTGTTTGCTGGAGTGGCCCATATCGTCCGTGAGCGCAAAGCATGTGTTTTTGTTATACCGTTTCCTTTCTCCCTCGAACGCAAACCATGAGGTTTTACATTGGTCTTCGTTTGCGCAAGCCCTATGGTTTTACATTGATTTGTTTCGCCCGTCAGCGCACACCATGTGTTTCGACAGGGCGTCCTTTCGCCCGCGAGCGCAAACCATATGTTTTTGCAGGGGCTCCTTCTGCCCGTGAGCTCACGCTGGCACGTCCACTGGCGTGCCCCGTGGCACGTTTCCGGGCTCGTGCTCTGCCGCGCTCCTCGGCTCGTCGTCGGGCGCTTCCCCTGCTCGAGGAGGAGGAGGAGGAGGAGGAGGAGGAGGAGGAGGAGGAGGAGGAGGAGGAGGAGGCGAGGCGGAGGCGGAGGGGCGGAGGCGGAGGCGGAGGAGGAGGAGGGAGGAGGAGAGGAGGAGGAGGAGGAGGAGGAGGAGGAGGAGGGAGGGGAGATCTCGCGGCGCGTCCCTTGCCGCGTCCCTGGGCGCGTCCCCTGGGGCGCCCCCTGGCGTGACGTGCCCCGGCAGACCGCCCGGCACGTCCGTTCTCGCGTCCCGCGGAGGAGGAGGAGGAAAAGGAGGAGGAAGGAGGAGGAGGAGGAGGAGGAGGAGGAGGGGAGGAGGAGGAGGAGGAGGAGGAGGAGGAGGAGGAGGAGGGGGAGGGGGAGGATGACGTCCCGTGGAACGCCCCCCCTGGCACGCCCCTCGGTGCGTCCTGCGGCGCGTTCCTTGGCTCGTCCTCTGCCGCGTTCCCCAGCTCGTCCCCTGGCGCTTCCCCTGCCCGTTACCCTGGTGCGTCCCTTCCCTTGTCATGTCACCTGGCGCGTCCTTGGACACGTCCCCTGGGACGTCCCTTGGGACGTCTCCTGGCATGACGTCCTCTGGCAGGCCCCAGGGCACGCGCCTCCGCACGTCCCGTGGCAGGTCCATGACACGTTCACGGCACGTCCCCTAACACGTCTTTTGGCATGCTTTTTGGCGCAGCCCCTAGTGTGCCCTTGGCAAATACCGTGGCGCGACCATGCGACCTGCGTTCCGTGTCATCTCGTCCCGTTTCGGAACTGAGCCGGATTTTGAGCGCGACCTGATTGAGCGTCCTGCACGCTTCGACCGCAACCAGCTCTGGGCCAGCTATGCGTTCAGACACCTCGATGTTGAGATCCAGATTAGTTCGATCAGGATTCGAATGCCAAGGACGACTCGATCCACAACAATGTAGAGCGCACTCGCGGCATGGCACATCTCAATTCAATACGGCACAACGCAGCACAACCGTTGGCACGGTACATCACGATCGATACATTCAGCATTGCAAGTGCCCGTCGTCAAATCAAGTGTCTCGAAAACGTTGGATTGCTCCACCTTTCTAAATTCCTTTCCGGGTTCGTGGGCCGATCATATTTTCGCGATGTCGGATCTCAGGGATCGGCGAGTGGTTGGCACATTCGGCGCGCTCCAGAGAGAGCTGTACTCAGGGACAAGGCCGGGAGGGGGTGTGCGTGCTTCCGTGCTGGGCACGCGGTCCGCGGCGAAGTCATCCCGAAGAACACCAAACGGCATACACATCAACTGTTGACGGTCCGCGTGGATTTCTCGGATCGGCGCTGGGCCCCCTGGCGGCGCCTCCGGCACCTCCCTTGGCGCGCTCCGCGCGCCAGGGAGGGGGGTCCGGCGCAGATCCAAGAGATCCGCGCGGAGCGCCAACAGTTTATGTTCATGCCGTTCTTCTGCCAGAAGTCTCACGGCGCCAACATCGTAGAGCGGATCTCGTTCGGAAAGCAATGGGACGGGCCCGGATTGTCCTGGAGATAACGTCGTTGCGGAATTCTGAGGCGAATTTCGTGGAGATTTCTGTTAGACTAGGATTGAAGATCACAGCTAATCCACACGAAATTCACATTCGTTCTTCGCTCGCAGTGTCGGGGTTTTGCATTGACAGACATCCGTGCAGCAATCCGCTGCAGCACGCCTGCAAGGTCGGCGCAGTGACGATGGGCGGCGGGGGTGGGGACGACAGTTGTTTCAGGCTTCCTTCGTCCAGGGCCCGCTCTCCGGGCCTGGCGCCATCAACAGAAAAGAGTCCGCGCCGAAGAGCCCGTCACACACAGCTGGGGCCGAGGGTTTCCGAAGGCCCGCGTCGTGAAGCCGGGTACACCTTAGGCGATGCTGAAGAAAACCCAAGTTTCCGGCCAGAGTCTCGATTATTCTTAATGTTTCAATGTAAATCCTAAGATTTGAATAGACATTCTGGGTTTTTCTTCAAGTTATGAGACTATGAATTTCTTAACCCATGACTTCTAAAGCATTTCGCAGGGTGTAGACAGGTCGATGGGCTTGCCTCCTGTTCTAAATTGAGCTGGGACGCTGCTTCAGAAGACGGCGGCGGCATCGCCAGCGGATGCCTGGCGGGAAGCTGGTGGAGGCCATGATGGTTGGAAGTAGGCCCCCAGGCGATGTGATCGACGCCCCAGGGTTCCCGAAGCCGTCCATATGACTTCAACACCGTATGCATGCGGCTTGCCGTCGGCACTGTACGTGGCAGGGTGGTGCTCGATTGCACGCCCTTGATGTTCTTGCACCGTCGGCAGCAGGCACACGCTGCCTAGACTTGGGACGCGTTCTGAGCAAGCCAAAATCAGCAGATTCGTCGCATCGGTGAAGGAATCGCCCCCAAGACGTCATGCTCGGTCAATGCGTCTGGCGTTGCTGGCGGTGCTGCATCCGCTCGGAAGACGCCACGGGTCCGCACACGCTTGCTGGAGTGATGCTTTCCCCGCGAGCCTCTTTGGATTCTCGCGTCTCGAGTCCCAGAGCTGTTGAAATCAGCACGCCAACTCGAATCCTCACAAGCCTCTATCCGCGGCCCCGAGGTCTGCCTCCTCATTGCCCTGGCGGTCTATCCCCAGGAGGCCGGCGCCGACCCCGACCGGCCTGTGCGTCGTTTAGACAACGTTTCGGCTCGGTGGCTGCGGGGCCGTCCTCGTGATCGGTCTCGCTGCGAGGGCAACCGCACATTCAGCGCAGGCGGGTCGAGGCAGGGCGGCGCGGGGGAAGAGGAGTTGCACTGATGTCACGGGTGAGCAGCCGAGGCAGCCTGTACACACCAAGCGTTGGCAGGGACATGTCTTGTCTAGAGGTGTTTGCGAGGAGCGACGAGAGGTGTGTTGGGTAGGGGTTGGTCGGTTGGTCTGCGCCCGCGTGATTCTTTGTCAGCCGTCGGCGCTTTCCGCGACGCGTACACTGAACGCCGCCAGTGGCTCGGAATCGTCCAGTATTGAGCTATCTGGCGATCTAGATCGGCGTCACCCCAACATACTTATACTATATGTGCGTCGCCCCCCCAGGGGCGACGCGCGCACCGAGAAATCTTCTAGTACATGTTTCGCGGCGGGCGCTTTCTGGCCACACCGCTCGTGAAAGGATATGCAACAAGATGAGTATACTAGATGTTCGGGTCGGACGCGCGCCTCCAAGGAGAACATTACGGGGCGTGAAAACGACCACAGCCACTGCTTTTCTTTTGTTGCCGCCTTCCAGCCCGCAGAAACAAAGCAGTGGTTGTGGTCATGTTCGTTAAGCTTGGCACCAGGGAAATGACCAGCACTGCTTCTTCTTCGGCCGGCTGGAAGGCGGCGCAAACAAGAAGCAGTGGTTGTGGTCAGTTTCCCGTCCCGCAAACATACAGTACTAGTATGTCTCTGTGCGTCCCACGAGGAGGCCACTGATCGATCGAGGTCGAACGATCCACGCGGTGTCCGAAGACCACCCCGTGGAGCCGTCTCGGCACGAGCCTGCCGCACCCGTTGTGCTCGCGCTGCTGGCCCGAAGGTCGAGGCCGGCTCGTGGAAGCCACCCTGGTGTTTCAGGAGGAAAAAACGCACAGACACAATAAATCGTGGACCCCCCAGAAAATATAGGAAAATATGGGCAGTGGGAGGGGGAAGACAAGAACCCGGAAAATATGGGAAATATTGGGACTATTTCCAGTTGTGTGTATTTATTTGTGTGTCTTTGGGCCCCTTCAGTGTTCTTCGTGTCGGTTGGATGCTCTTGTCCGAGGAAAAAAAGCACAGAAACATGCGTGCGCGTGTGTGTCTACTGTGCGCGCCTTTCATGCGCAGTGGTGCAGAGCATCCTGCCCTGTTGCGTTCTCATAGCTCGAAGCGCGAGCTTGCCCATTCACCACTGCCTGTATCCTCTGCCTGTATTCGTTCCAGAGAGAGAGCCAGCCCCCGAGCGCCGCCCAGCATGTTTACTGCTATGCATCAGAGAGTGAGTGTTTCCAATTGTGTCGAGTAGCGTTGCTTCCGTGTATAGTTCTGTGCAGGCTATTCGTTATGGTCCTTGGTATCTGATCTAGTGCCATCAGCCGCCGTGGTGCCACGCACTCTAGAGGTTTACCTACAGAGCCACACCTGCGCGTACGTCCGCACGTGAGCGTTGCAGCACTGCAGTACATTCCAGTCGAGGTAGCCCAGACATTCTTGTCTTGGCCCAGCATGCATGTATCGTGTGTCGGTGGGGTATGTTCGAGCTTGTTTCCTTATAGCACGTTGTTCGACGTTCGCTTTGGAGCTCGCTTACCGGTTGCAATTCCACTTTGGCACCGAATCGGTGATCAGGTTACGCCTTGCAACTATCACGCCCAGCCTCAGTGCAGGGCTTTCGGATGCTGCTTCGAGCAGTGTCGCGTCAATCGTCATCTCCGTCATGATCCAGATGCACCTGCAGGACATGCGTCTGAACATGGTCGGAGACGCGGAGAAAGTTTTCCTAGACACTTGCTTGCGCGACTTCGAAGGGGTTTCGACACTTGATCCGAGGTACCGCTCCAAGCGCAGAAAGTGCGTGCAGGAGTTCCACGACTCGCCCAGGCATCACTGGCTCCCCATGGTAAGGCAGCTTGTGGACCAGGGCGTCTGCGACCCAGGGGACCTCTGCGACAGCGGAGACCCTGGCCAGTGCGCGGACGAGGTGGCCGCATGCTATGCCCTCGTGGACAGCTCCAGGCACCCATCCAAGACAGTCGCGGAGGCTGCGTCTCTGGAGTCCCAGTTCGTGGAGACTTGCAGGAGAGCGGGCCGCTGGGACGGCTACGAGCACGAGGTCCAACTCGAGTACTGCATGTGGAAGCACATGAGTGCCGCGGGGATCTGCACGAACACCGTGCGGACCACCTGTCCCGAGGATGATAGCTGCTGCCCTCTTCCACAGAGCTACGTCGACGAGGCCGGCGAAAGCGTCCCGTCCGGGCCTCGGGTCTTTCACTGCCAGCGCTCCCCTGTGCTCGGCATCTTCTGCCAGCACTCCGACTACGCCGCGCCGCCCCCTGGGTCGGGGCCGTGCACGCAGATGAGCTGCCCCGGCAGCTTCCAGTGGTGCACGGACCTGGCGGACCTCTCGGGCCAGTGCTTGGGGACGCCGTGCCAGGAGCCCGAGGGCGGCGACTGTGCACCCTCGCGGGTCCTGGCCGGGTGTGACAGAGAGGCGACGTTGGGATCTCGAGGTAGGCAGGGGTATCCTCTGCCCCGGGAGTCCCGACCGCTTCCCCGGGGGTCTTTCTCTTCCCGCGTCTGTGTTCGATAGTTCCAGGCCCCGTAAAGGTCCCCTGGGCCCAAGCCGAGGAGCGATGAAGAGTGAGAAAGTTCATACCGGCGGGGTTCTGCTGGTAGGTGCACAGAGATTCGGTGCCCAGATTTTTCAATTCGGGGGTGCAGGGCCAGCGTTCCATCCCAATTCGGTTTTTGTTCACGGTTTCGCGGGGCCCGGCAAGGGCCTTTGGAGGCCGAAAGTGGCCAACAAAGATTCCGCCGTGA